GGTATGTCAAGCTGAATTTATGTACTTACGTGCGAAATTCTACGTTGTAACTGACTGACTGACAATGTACAGGGTGATGTTGTAGCATGAAAAAAGAAAACTATATAAAAACAACATATATTTGGCCCATGGCAACTACTCTATGAATGAGTTCCAAACGATGGTGTGACTTAGTTACCTAAGATATAATCAGACATGATTTACAATAAAATTTAATGACGATTTTTCTGCAACTTTCTCTTACATTCTTCATAATTAAGAACAGCGATACATTTTACCGACTGAAAAAGTTTACCTTTGATATAATTTTAACTAAACTGTATGGTGTACTATACAATACTTCTGTCGATATAATTTTTTATTGTTCAGTTATATCAGATGTATTAAATAAATATAAGGTTTTATGATTGTTTGAGACACCTTGATAATGTGTATATATGATAATCTGTTAGTGAAAAAATAGAACTCTGTAAGCACGTACATCAGTTCAAGTGACCATACCACATTAGCACAGAGATGTAATTGTCAATTTTCAAATCCCATAGTGGTAGAGGTAGTAGAAGTATTAGAAGTAATCCGAGAGGTTAAGATTAGAAGATATTATTCAAGAAGTATGATTCAATGAGAAAAGTTTAGAAAGTCAAAACTAGAGGGGTTGAAGAATCCAGAAGATCAGGATTTGAAAGAACACAAAGAATAAATGCACCGGCGCCATTGCGAGCGATTTAGAGCCATGTCATTCAAGGTCTCTAACCATCAATTACTATCATCTCGTGGACCTGCCTGGCATGGTAGGACCTGCAGGAACATATGTTCCAGCCAGTATAGCTCGGTTGGGTCATCACGATAGGCAAGCCAGGCCACCACATCAAGGTAGCAGCTACAGTCGGGTGTATTGGCATTTAAAGCAAAAGGTATCAGATTCGAGTCCTGGTGTGAATAATAACACTGAGAAGCAGGTACATTCCCATTCCAAACAGGGTGAGACCAGCATCTTGGATGTCACAATCCATCTATCTACCCCACAAAACTTTAGATCAAATGGTTTTAGCCAGGCAATCTGAACCGTATGCACATATATCAACTATTACTGATCAAATCCAGTGAGTAGCATTAAAAAAATAATTAAAGTTTCAGTTAATACATACTTCCTATTTTCTTTTGAATCATTCATTACCCCGTTTGAGTGAACAGAAAAAAATCCTTTTAATTAATTAAGCTTAATTATGATTAATATTCGAAGAAAACTGGAAGTTACAACATGTATATACATTTTTCAACATCAGAATCTAACTTAATGTTTTTTGGTAATTCGCTTTCTTTGAATTCTAAATGATGATGATAAGAAGTTATTGGATATTAAACACCTGTGAAATCATAGGCTCATTTTATACTTGCCTAGTGTTTAGTTATTTTATAAGTGATTAACAATTGACATCAGCTGGACGAGTTCACATATATTTTTTAAATTTATATTAAGTATCTGATTAAGGAGCTAGACTTTAAAACAATAAGCAAGTGCCTGTTCAGAGATATTATACTTTCTTAAAATGAAATTGTCATTGCTAGTGAATTGCATAGATTGAATTTTACACCATATTTAGTTTGAATCGTGAAAAATAGAAGATAGTGTGGTGCGAGCTACTTATAAGTAGCATATGACGTGAGTGTCAACGTAATGTCTGACAGCAAAAGATAGGGGAAGATCAAGAGAAAGGAAGAGTTAGAACACAATGGAATTTGTATGAAATGCATGAATAGTGACAATGGATTGATGTTTTGCAACAGGAACAGTCCAGTTCGATATGATGATGAACTGATATTTTGCAAATTAACGATTTACGATATGGTTTTCCGATTTTACTGAGTAACTCTGTGATTTTTTTGTTAAATACAATTCGGTTGCCTCACCTGTGTTCTCATTCACTACAATAGGATTTATTGTTAAGCACTGGTCGATTAACTAACTAGTTTAGAATTATACTAACAACCTGATCTCGTCTATTGTCTAACTAATCATTAGTATATTTCAGTCACTTTGTATAAATAAATTGAGATATTTACAAGTTTGAAATCATCAATCAATCATTGTTAGACGACCATTAGAAACCTGGAAGCACTGAAAGACGGCCGTTTCGTCCTGGTATGGGACTACTCATCAGCAGTGCGCATCCACGACTCCTGCTCCTCGCAGGATTCGAACCAACAGAACCTTTGGCATTGTAGGCGAACGCCTTACCATCGGACCACTGGGCCGGCATCCAACGGTGTTAATTAATGTCTAACTCTGATTGATCTACGGATGTTTGCGCGACCTCACTCATTTGTCTTTGGTAGTTACTGCCTACACCCGACAGGGTTGAACTCCATTAGTCACAATGTCTTCTCAACTAGAACTCCGAGAATTTCCTCACGAAGAAGCTAGTCACTAGTGAGCACTGTTACGATATTTTGGGGCACAGTTTTGGAGGTTCTATATTTACAAGTATTTAACTTACCGGTGGTAAGTTTATGTGACCTTTCATAATATCAGTATTAAATTTTGTCGAAACTAGATATCATGATACATTGAATTCAGTAACATTTATGAATGGATGATTCGTGTGTTTACCGATAGAGAGCAGGAGTCGTGGATGCGCACTGCCACTGATGAGTCCCATACCAGGACGAAACGGCCGTCTTTCAGTGCTTCCAGGTTTCCAATGGTAGTCGAACAATGATTGATTGATGATTTCAAATGTGTAAAGAGAGAGTAACATCAATATTTTATAAATACTATCAAAATTACCAATTAATAACTTACAATCCATTAAAATCATCCAATGAATTTTTTGATTCATACTTAAAAGGATAACATAATGATGAATTAATGCTTTTCGATGTGGTCGATAATATAATATGATCACTCAGGAGATTTGATGAGATATTCACTACAATTGGTGCACCTTTTGACAGCCCAGATGATTGAACAATAAATGGAGCAGCAAGCCAACTATTTGGAGATGGTTTTTTAGTTGAACTTTTATTGATCGATTCGCTAGTGTTGGTTAGTTTTTTTGTAGGTGTTATTTTATTATTATTATTGAATTTACTCTGTGGTGTATTTGTTGTTATGATTGATGGTGGACGTCCACGACGACCATGACGTTTGATAGGTGTATTGTTTTTCATTACTGTAGGAATACGTCTTTTTATACGTTTATTTAAAATAAATGCTAGAATATGTGGGATTAAAGCGTGTTCACAAGCAATTTCTTTACGTCTTTGACGTTCACGTAATCTTTGCATGTATATATTGACTTGTGCTACTTTTAAAGCTAATAAACAATGGGTACAGATATACAATATTAATGTAAATATATGATATTTTAAGAATTGACTTATATGATGATAACTTAAAATAAAATAATACCTAAAGTAATGAATGAAATAGACAGTATTTTATTCTGGTGATACAGTAGTTTATCCTCCTGTGAATTTTATTAAAGATTACTATGGTGCGCGCTACTTATAAGTAGTATATGACGTGAGTGAAAACGTAATGTCTGGCAGCAGAAGATGAGGGAAGAGCAATAGAAAGTAAGAAGAGTGAGAACACAATGGAATTTGTATGAAATGCATGAATAGTGAAATGTCAGACAATGGATTGAAGATTTGCAAATTAACGGTTACGATATGGTTTTCCTATTTTACTGAGTAACTCTGTAATTTTCGTTAAATACAATCCGGTTGCCCTCACTTGTGTTCTCCTTCATTACACTACTACCTAATAATTGAATAAGTTTTCTGGTTAGGCGGTTTTTTAGCGAGTTAGTATTTTTTACGGGATGAGGTCGCTAACCGGAAGCCCAACCCTCCTCCTTTATCTGAGCTCGGAACCGGCAATAGCCACATAGGGGCCCCATGTGGAACTGAAAAGGGAGGCCCAGGACAGAGTAGGTTGTTGAATACTGGTCGATAGCCTATGCTCCATTGGGGGGGTAAAAAGCGCAAGTTAGTGAGTAAGTAATACCTAATAATTGAACACTTTATGTGCAGTTAGTTGTTTAATTAATTTTTAGACAATCAACCATTGAATATATGTGAAGATGATTTGGTTTCACTTTCATGTGTGACTTTTAAGATATTTTATTGATCAGGATAAATCTGATTGAAGTGAAATAACTCGATGTTAGATAGGTTGAACTTTAAAAAAATCATCAAAAATTCCTTGTGTTTTAATTTTGACTAGTATTTAAATTTACTATGTTTGGTTCGCATAAGTTTGTATTTTATATGATTTTTCCTTTACTACTTTGTGTCAAAGTTCTCATAATTATTGAGTATTCATCCCTCGAATTATATATATATATATATATATATATATATATATATATATATATATATATATATATATATATATGAGGGAGAGATTGCATTTTGTCAAGTAGGTTAGCACAGGACGCAAACAATCAGAATAACAATGTCTGTCAGCTAGTCATAATCAACGTTCAACCTGGCACAAATGTGAATAAACATTGAGAATATAATTCATAAATAGAGTGTAAAGGTATGCATGAAGGAATACTGGAGCCTTTGTTGTGTAGGAAGGTGAGAAAAGAATACATCTGCGTTTTGGAGACATTGTTCAAAGTTTTACAGCTACTCGTTTCGGTGGTAAGTATCTACCAGAATGGTTCATACCATAGACCGATGTGATATTTGGTTTGAAAGACCTTTGTATTCTTCTAATATACTTCTATACCAGCAGACATTACACAGTGAGGTACGCGCAGTGATTAAATCGATGCAGTAGTTGAATTTTATTCATCTTCAATTTTTAAAAATTTAAACAGCTGTTTGTGACTAGCGAAACAAAATCAAAATTTTTAATTTACTATTAAGATATTTAATCAGGTAGGAAAAAAAGAGCTACCACAATAAAAATTATTCTAATCCACATACCATCCTCTAGGTCATCATGTGAAAAACTGGGATGTAATCTACATAGTATACTTTCAGCATCATTGTCGTAATCCTATAAATAAAAAAAACACTAGATAAAAGGAAATGGCTCAACGAAACTAACTCTTTCAAAGTCACCACGATTTGGCATGTAACCTAATAGTTGTTGATCTTCAATATCAATAAATGATGAATGTGATGGTTGTATGGGTGATAAAACTACACGGTTTGTGTGATCTGTAATCCGAGATGGATATTTATTATCATTTAATAATTCCATGCCAAATACTCCACCCAAATAACGATTACAGTAATGATACATGCATTGGTCGGAGCTTTTAGTTCCAACTTTTAAAGCTATATCCTCCCTAAAAAGTAGATTGCATGAAGGGAAAAAAATAACCTACCAATTTCCAATTCCATATTGTTCTAAAGCTTCCAAGAGACTGAGTTCCTCATCAGAATTCCAACCTTCAAGGATAGAGTGCGGTAGTAAATTCAACCTCTATAGTAATTAACAAAGGGATTAAAGAATATTTACCGAAATGCGATAAGCATGATTTTTCTTGTGTATCCCGGACTCAGCACCATAGCAGTAGCACTGTAAATAACAATAGGTTTTTGCAAAACTTACATTGATGCAAAGTTGCACACAATTACATTCAACACAAACTAGATGTACATCAGCTTGTTTCAGACAATTTGAGCATATATTTTCTCTTGGAATTGTGGACATCTATAATAATAATACGTATGTTATAGGAATATAAAGATTAAAAAAACATTGGTACAGTGCAAAGGTTGTCTTTAAATTGAGAAATTGACGCTTTTAAATAACATAGAGGTATTTGTTTTTGAGATATACCGTCATAAATAGTTTTTAACTGATCTCGGTGAACTTCAAACTAGGAAACTTGAAAAGCCTTGCTACCTATTGAACATGATTAAATTTTTCGGAAGCTGATATCTGCACTTATAATTGGGTTATATATGCGTAGGTTGATGTAATTGCTTTTTTCCAATTTTTTAACGATAAAACCGCGTACGATAACGTCCCAAACATATAATTTACCTCAATTTAAGCCAACTAACTAGTCAACCATTGCTAATTTGCGTCATCGTGTGATGATCGCATAGTTCTATTTAGTGTAGATGCTGACAAAATGCAGTTTTCTAAACACCTGAAATAACAATGCAAGCATGTTCGGGATGCGATTCTCCCGGTCAAAATGTAAAATGTGACTTCACCAATGACTTGCATCGGCACCTGAACTAGTGATAGGGAGTGAAGCAGTTGAGCATGTTGGTCGCTCCAATTATACTGAGTGTCTTCAGTACTGATGGCCTGGTTTCTTACGAGATTTCGGCACGCATACACGATGCTCGACTGGCTTTTGCCAACTTGCGCCAATTACGGAGTAGGCGAGATATCTGTCTACTACAGACGAGTCTGCCGCATAGCAGTTCGCTGCATCCTAGTATACTGGTGTGATTCATCGTCAGTAACAGTAGAGGATGTTCGTAAGTTACTGGTTTTCGATTATAGGTGTCTCTGCATTACTGCCCGAGTATCCTTGGAACACTGAGTACGCGATGCTGGGTTCGGGAAAAGAGTACAGAGTGAGGATAGCAGATCAATTGATGAAGTAATGAATCTCTATCAGTTGAGTTGGTTGAGATGTGTTACGCATGGTGTAGGAGTACGCTGAGAGGAAGCTAGCGGTGACTAAACAAAAAACTACGCAAATTCATGAAGTCCCTAACAAGTTGTGGGTACAGACCACCTGGTTGGGGTCCGCGAGATGATAGTGAACAACGGTTAGATACCCTGAATGGTGTCTCAAAATCGTTTGCAACAGCACAGATGTATCTGACATAAAATTCACTAACTGTTTTTGTGTGACTAGAACTAACTAATGTCGGTTCCTGTTGAAAACTTTAGTCTTTATTAGTAGCTTCAAATCATAGCTATAATTTCTAGTCATAGTTCTTGCAACAAACCCGAAAAATCACTGGAGGTAGATAATGAGGAACCTTGCAGATCATTTAGCCAGTGGAAAGAGAAATATTACAAGTAAAATTTGATAAAGATAAAAGTCCGTCCATAAGGAATATTTCTATTAATATTACAAGAGCTTCCCCTACTACATATAAACCATAATTTATTATAGCTCTAAAGACTGTTGTTTGATAAAGCATAGCACGTATAATCAACATTCGAGTACAAAACTAGCATTAAAAATATCATACTCTTTCAACATTTACCAAAACTCAAAAGACGTATTTAACATTTAGTAGGAGTTTACAAAAATGAATAAAGATGAAAAGTGCAAAGGAACCGTGAAACTTTTCTAAAACAAAAGTAAACACAAAAGTTAATATATCGAAATTCATGCGGACATGAAAGTCGACGAAAAGGTAATAAAGCACTTTCAATCGTTTTCTGAAATATCTCCACAATAAATGAAACTTATAAATACTTCGTATACACTGAAATAAAGCCAAATACATACCTATGATCAAAGTAACGTAATATGCATAAAACGCGCTATAAAGTACGAAGTTTGAAGCAGTTAAACAAGTATAAGATTTGACTGTTTCTTGAAAAAGATAGGAAATTTAGACGAAATAAAGTATCACGGAATAAGAAGCGCTTGAACTGAACAATCTTATTGGTACACTACGATAAATCTATACGATCTAGTAGATAAGGTCTCATTTTTTCAAACTTAGAATAAAATTGACCAGATTTTGGGTAGTTAATGAGTATATCCTATTGGAAGAATTCTAATTCTAGTGTAAGTGGTGGCTTAGCTTTAAAGCCTGCATGCCGACCATCCCGCAACTCGTCATTAAATGTGAAGAATCTGAACATCAATGTGGACAACAACAACGTCAAGGTTGAGGTGAAACCTCATGTGTCTATTAATAGTGTGATAGATGTGAATAATAAAGGTGATGGTAACGAGAATGGAATCACTATAGGTAGTGCAGTTTCTTCGGTTGCTCTTGCTAATGTAGCTCCTTTGGGTACTTCGGATCAAGACGAAATTGGATGTTTGAGTGTGGAGAATGTAGGCGTCGGTGGCAATAGCGTTAGCCACAGTGATGGCGCAAATGAGAGGGTTAACATTCAGTTCCCTAGGTGCAATGAGGAGTCATCTAGGTTTAATGGACATGCTGTTGTGTTGAATATGCAGCATGAAGAATCGAGCGTGGAATTGTCCACCTGTCGCACTCCACCATCATTGACTCGTACTACAAGTATCGGGATGAGCACTACCAACAGTGATAAGACAGATGTGGTTAAGAGCATTCCTAGTAAGGAAAGTAATGTTGATCGAGTAGAGTTAAACATTGTGCATGAGTCGGATGGATGTCATGAGAAGTGTACTACTACTTCTACAGCTGCGGCTACTAATGATAATAGTATTGATAATCCCTTTCTTCCCATTTTGATTCCCAGCTCTGCCCACTGGACTTGCATACGAAGAGGTTAAAGCCTAACTATCCTTTCCAAAGTTAACAGGGAATTTAACTCAGAGGTATAATTCAGCTGCTCTAAGATCATAGAGCATTCTTGCGTACGTATGGCTAAATACGACATATGTTCTGGATCAATGAAATCAGCCCTTCCTGGCTTCAACAACTCTTGTAACATTTCCCGGGCTATCAAGTGCGTTTGACTAAAAAGCTGCTTCAAAATGTCTTTAGCCCTTTTGTAGCCTGACGAGGCTTCCATCATTAGACACTCTTCAATTGCAGCCTTTGCCCTACCATTTCATTAATGGACTAGATACAATAGACGCAAGCTGTCATCAATAACTCTAGGTTCTATAAACGTTTCGAACTGTCAAATGAACTTAAAGTAATTACGGTGTTGGCCGCCGAAGTAACTTAATTCAACCTTCGGCAATTCTAAGCCAACTACCAGTGTCTTAAACATCATATTCTTCTCAGGTACCTCAAAGTTCTCGTCCAAACTACGTCCATTTGTGCCCTCTAACGATGGCTTACGAGAATAAGTATTAAGCATATAATCATCCTTGTCAGAGAGTGAACCCTTTAAACATGAAGTATCATAAGGGACTTGCTTGTCATTCAGTGATTCTTCATAGGCTCCATCCCTGTGCGTGTTTAGCTTCATACGAGAACTCATTATAGCACCTGAAATTCAGCGGAAAAGAAACTCCAAATTATTGAAACAATAAAGATCAGATTTAAAATTCACCGGTTCCGTTTCTTCGATTATTGTCGACAATGAGATATCCAAAATACTTCTCTCCAAATATTGTTTAGGACTAGTTGGCAGTAAAATATCCAAAAGAACCACCTCCAAATATTGTTCTGAACTGGTAAACGACAAAAATTCCAAAGGATCCTCCTCGAAATATTGTTTTGAACTGTCCATTAATAATTACTCTTTCAGTCCGCTTTTAACTCGAAAAGTGTATCTTCGTACGCGTCCCGGACAGTCCAAGTCCGAAAAACGATAATTCTGGAAAAGAACGGTTCTATATTTAATTAGGAAAAGGAATTCAAAATATTACCAAAACAATATTACACCTTCTATTTCCAATTACCACAAAAGGTTCCGTTACTGGAAGAATAAGTGCTTCCAGTCAGTTACTGCTAGAGTATCAAATCCAAATATGGCTGTAGCCATATTAAATACCAATTTTAAACAACATATGTATAATTCAGAAGGAACATGGAAATTTCAATATAAGTACAAGATATAGAAGTAATAACAATATACAAAGGATAAAACCTCAAAATGGGATCAAATAAAGTACCAAAATATCAAACAGAAGAGTCAGTCATATCATAACACAAATATATATACATGGAGAGATCTTCCAAAAACAAAGCCTTCAGAGTAGATTCTACACTATGCATCAGCTTCGGTAAACCGGAATTATCCAAGCTGCATTTTTTACTGCTACAGCTGAATAGGTTAGTGACTTGTGGATTTCTAACATACTGAAAATAAGGTTGTTCATGTTTTAAAGAAGACGCAGAAGTCGACCGATAACTAATTGATTTCTGGACTGGTCTATTCACTAGCAAAACAAAGAAGCTACAGCCTTTTCTCAGGGTGTATTAAGAAACGGAATTAAGTAAACTAAAATATTCTGTTGGATAGTGGTAATGAATCATTTAACTGTAATTATCCAGTTATTGAAATCTTCATCCCTTTTTTAGTGACAGGTATTTTAAAAATTTACAATATATATCATTGAATTTTGTTTTGAATATTTGCAACTATGGTTTTCTGTAACAACAAAGCTAAAAACTATAACTGCAGATCATCTTTCGCTTCCAATGCCCGTAAGAATGGTGTGGAGTTTTGATGTATTTACGGTTAAATACTTGACTGTTATGCCAACAGATAAAAGCGGCTTTCTTTCAAAAATATCTGGTTTTGATATTTCAGTGGGCTTAAATAAATTGTAATTCATTCACTTAGAAATAATTTGAATTTACCTACTTTAGTATCAAAGGCTTATAGGTATATTGTTAACAAGTTTATATTTAACCACTCTAATTCACCCATCCATCGTCAAAAATTTAACGATTTCTTAAAGGGACTTTCGGCTACAAGGAGATCACATTTTGTGTGGCGTAACTCGTAATCAATGCCAGATTCATGATTTATTTCAGTCAGACTGTATAAAATATGTAGAATGAATTTATTAGATATCCATGGTAATTTTATTAGTTCAAACATATCAGTTCTAGGTTTAAAAAAAAGCCGAAATTCTCAGCCTACCGCCATGTATATATTCGCCTACGTGCACTTAAACGGTTTAATTGAATTTTCTACCGTAGCAGTTCAATTCGATTCCAATAGGCGTATGTCGAACGCACCTTCCCTTAGTCGAATATCAAAACACAATAATTCTGGGAGGAAGTGGTCTATTTATATAAAAGAAATGGAAATACAAACATTTACCCGACAATTATTACGCCTTCCAAGTCGAAATTACTCTGATGGGTATCCGAGTTCAAAAGATTAGGTGAAGCTAGTATACTGCGACGATATCAAATCCAAATATGGCTGTAGCCATATTATATATCAAATTTAAACAACATATATACAGCTCAGAAGCAAACATAAAAAACTTCAATATCAGTACAAAATATAGAAATAATAACAATATACAATGATAAAATCTCAAATTGGAATCAAATAAAATACCAAAAATGTCAACAGAAAGAGTCCGTCATGTCATAACAAAAATATATAAACATGGAGGGATTTTCCAAAAAACAAAACATTCAAAAAGGATTCTACACCGGCCCGCAAAATCCCTCCATGCAAAAGACAAGCGCTTATTGACACTTCAAGTTTGGGTTCACTCTCATCCCCTAATCCACACCGGAAGAACGAGTAGGACTTACAGCAGTACGCCTACCCGCCCTCCAACATGGATATGACCTATCAAGCTAACTAGGTACCTATACCTTCCCATCAGGCCCTTGATTCCCCTATCTATCGTAGCATGACCTAACGGTAGTATAAACTTTATCCAGTTAACCCACATGAACATGTACAACACGTCGTTAAGCTGGTCATATCCTATCCGGGAACTACATTCCATATCATGGGGATGAGTCGTCAATCCACCACCACTTGCTCCGATCGGCAGATACAATGAAGTCCGTGATGCTGACTTATCAACAGAAGTTCTTGACCCATAGATAATATGCAAGGGTGGGATCTCCAATTTTGACATTTCTTCGTCTCCAGAAGACTTTAAGTGGCATAACATGGGACCAATATTTATCTCTCCATCTCCTGATACAGAGGAGGTTTGATCAGCATTCGTCATCGTCGGTAACTCATTTGTCACATCAGTGACATCCAGATTATTATCATCGTCATCATGATTCCGTTGTGTCAGACAAGTCGCGTCGTTTCGGTCTGCACTAGCATCCGTAGAGTGAAGCTCTTCCATTCTTGTATAACTCATATCACTACATGAAAGAACAGCATTAGTAGTCACAATTCGAAACCTGATATAACTCACTTGTTGTTCTTCATGTTCCGTTTCAGAGACACAAGACATATGCACGTCAATAGCATCGTTATCATGCAACACTGTAGACTGGCTGTTACCATCAGACGCTTCCTTCTCATCATCACTTGACCGACAGTCAACCGAAGTAGGAACACTTACAGTTACACAACCTTGTGTATCCTCAATCAACTTAACATTCGCGGCAGAGTCCGATGACGTCAAATCACTAGAAGGTTCGTTCGATGAAGTTGATCGACTAGTCACTATAGGTGGACTGCTCACACTTTCTGTCTCCTTACTATCGCTGTCACTACTAAGATTCTGATGACTACTATTTCCATTGCTAGTCATAGCATCCGAAAGAGAACGAAGTTTAGGCTTCTTAATAATAGTAGCATCATGTTGTTTCCTATGCTTCTTAGCTTGGGTAGCAGTATGTGAGCGTAACGTACGATCATTTCGACGACGATGAGTGTCTTTCAACTTCCATCGATCACTATTACTCGCAGGAGTATCATCAATGC